AGAGAAGCAATGGAAGGCATCCAAAGGCCCCATCCACCCTGCTGCCGCCGCCGCTGGGGGCTTTCGGAGCTCTCAAAGGGCTTCCTCCAATGTCGGGGGGGAAGCCCTTTGACACCTCCAAAGGCAAACAGGCAGGGAGAAAGGGCTGGAAATTCCAATTTCCCACCCTTTCTCCTTGCCTTTTTGCCTTTGGAGCTTTCTGCCCGACATCGGAGGAAGCCCTTTGGGAGGAAGCACTGTTGGCGGCGGGGGGAGGGGGAACTCCAAGAGGCCTCCAGCAGCGGCGTCGAAGCCCTCAGAGTCCTCCAACACCAGCGATGGTGGCGGCAGGGAACCCCTTGAAGACTTCAAAAAGGTAAGGTAATTTTAAAAAAATAATTTTTAATTTTTTGTGTGTGTGGGGGGGGTGTTTCTTGGGCGGTGTGTGGATTAATTGGTTTTCAATGCATTCCTATGCAGAATGGATTTTCGACCTACGGACTTTTCGACCTACGGACTCCGTTCCAATACGGATTAATTTTGTAGGTCAAGACCTCACTGTAACATGCAGTGACTTGATAAACAAACTGTATTTCTAGTATCTTTATAACTATAGTACAGCTTTATATGCCACAGCTGTTTCCTCTGTTGTAAGAATTATGGTACTTTGTCACTTTTAAAGACATTTTGGTCCCTCTGGGTTGATGGTGGCCATGGACTAGATGATGATAAAGAAGTCAGCATTGTCTGTCTGTCTGTCTGTCTGTCTGTCCATCCATCCATCCATCCATCCATCCGTCTCTCTGTCTGTCTGCCTACCTGCCTACCTACCTACCTGTCACCCATCTAGCCCTTTGCTCTCCCATGAACCAAACCTAGAGCCCTTCTTTAGCAGCCAAAAGGCTGTGGATACTTGTCCCATACCTGCAAATGAATAGCCAGAGTTAATTTCCTATTAGGTATCAGTACACAGCATCACAGACGTTCCAAAGGGGATTACCAACAAAATCCTCTTTCATCCATGCAGCAAAATGCAAGGACTTCCATTACAAAAATGGAAGGTACCACATTTAGCCATTTGGAGACTACTAGATTTCATCCTGCAGAGAGGAAACTACCGCTGCCTTTATGATGTTGGGTAAACCTGGGCTTTTTCCTTCAAACTGGTAAGACTCTAAAATCTTGAGGTTTCTGGATTGCAGTGAGAAAAACAGATACACTAAGTAACTGGAAAGAACAAACTCCTCTTCCCACACCTTCACCCGCCTCCATGACCACAACTAAGAGCATTATATGTGTTGTTGCTTGCAGAAATAAAATGTGAGGTTCTCTTACCTGGCTGAAATGTTGCTGTAGTGCATGTAGGCAGCAATAACAACCCCTGTTCGGCCTCTGTTCCCCTGCAAGAGATGCAGCAAAACAGACTGATGATTAAGTCCACTAGTAATAAGAGTTTTGTGGAAGAAAAAGTTACAGTGCATTCAATGAAGAAGCCACCTGGATACAATTCTCCAAAACGCTAGGGAAAAGCCAGTCCTGTGGCACAGTGGTCAAACTGCAACAGTGCAACCAAGACTCTGCTTTCAACCTGAGTTTGATCCTGGCAGGTTTTAGTGGCCAGCTCAAGATTGACTCAGCCTTCCACCCTTCAAAGGTTGGTAAATGGAGCGTCCAGCTCACGGTGGGGCAGGGGGAAGAGTTCCTTGCCTCATAACTTTGCAAACTGCCCAGAGAATGGTTGTTGTGGGTTTTTTGGGCTCTTTGTCCGTGTTCTGAAGGTTGTTCTTCCTAACGTTTGGCCAGTCTCTGTGGCCGGCGTCTTCAGATGGACAGCAGTCCTAGGTGCTGTACAGAGAATGCTCCCAACACTATGAGGCAGTATATATAATAAAGTATAAAGAGCCAGTTGAAACAATAAACAAACAAACAAATGTTGGGGGTGGGAAAATCAGTTTCATTTCATTCATAAGGTTGTGTTTTTCACTTTAGTTGCTGTCTATGTTCCTTGAAGACTGAATTCTTCCACTCTTCCTAGGAACAACTTCCCACAGCAGGCTGTTGCAAGAAATATAAAGAGAGGCACAACTTGAACTATGGGGACAGAGAGGAACTGAATGGGCGATTCTGTCCTCCTGCACATTTCATTAGGAAAACATAACTCAGCAATAGGTGGCGCTGTGTCCTATGAAACTGAGCGAAAGGGCAGGCGTGAGGGCTAGAGATTTCACCTTTGTTGCATCTTTCTATGCTCTGCTCTCACTGCTGCCAAGAAAAGGTGTTTATGCTATCATAGTCATCCTTCAAACACAAGATTGTTCTATGTGATTCTCACAAGAAAGCCACTCCACTACAGATGGGTTTACATTAATATGGGATATGGAAATGGAGGCACCAGGTACACATATCTGGCTGGAGCCACTGAGTAGCTGTAGGCAAATCGCTAGGTGGATATAAAAGGATGCCTATGGTTGATTTGACTGGGTTGTTTTGCTTCTCTTCTCGTTTTCTCTTAAGTAATTCAGGAATGCACCCACATTTCTGGATCTCTTTTTACCCTGAAAATCCTGGTGAGAGAAGTGAGGTTGTGAGATGCTGGTTGTCACAAAGCCATTCGGTAAAGTTCATGGCTACGCAAGCTTTTGAACCTTGCCAGGTCTTCCCAGTTTCACTTGCATCATAAGTGATACTGTTTGGACGGTAATTATGAAAACTGATGGTGGGAAAAATCGCAAGTATGGCAAGTATTGGGATTCACCTTTTGCACCTTAAAAAGTATCCATTGCTCTTTGTTTTCTCATTTTATAAACGGTAAATATTATTATTTAAAAACAAGCACACAATTTTACTGTTTTCATGGAGCAGCCCAATCTTATGCAGCAGGAAAGGGAATCCACAATGGAAGAGATCAACTGCCTAGAGGACCACAGACCAAACACCACTGCTACAACAAGGGATGGGAAAGAATTTCATTCCATTATTTCCCAGTTTTCATCTAAAATTCAGTGGGGGGGGGAAGAAAAATCTGAATGTGGGAGATTAAAATGATCAGACCAGCCTCACAGAAGACTCTTGAGTCCTCAGCACTAAAAAATTCTGGGCTGAATCCCTATGTATTCAACTAGTGTTTGTGAGGTTGAATAAAGGTAATTTCAAGTCTATTTTTCTACTGGGAAAAGCTGTAATAAATGAATCTGGCTGGGACAGAAGGGTGTACATGTCCTTCAGTTCACTTCTTTATTTATAAAATTTGCTAAAGGTAACCTCAGATTAAACAAATTAGAATGTGGAAGAAGGCAACATTGGACAAATTTCTTCAGCCCTTCCTGCAAAAGAACATGCAAAAACAAAACAGAACAACACATGCATCACAAAGACCGACCAGACATACAAAACGCATGTGTACACACAGATGTAGGACTGGATGACCAAAATACAGCAATGCCCTGTTTTGTCACCAGGGAAAAATATATGGGCCTGAGAATCAAGCTGGAACTTAAATAGCGCTTAAATAAGATTTTAATGCTGTTAGGTGTGATTATTTATTGAATCTCAGTGCTTTCACTGGATTGAAGGGATCTTTAGGGTTTTTGGTTTTCGCTGGCTCTTGTTTATTCTTCAGTTTTAGTATTATGGTTTTATTATTTTTGAAACCTACTAAAGTAAAGAAAAAAGCAAAGTGTGCTGCGTATATATTGCCCCACAGTGCTTAAAACACTCTCTGGGTGGTTTACAATTATTTTATTATGCAGGCTATGCATTGCCCCCACCCCCAAGCAAGCTGTACACTCCATTCACTGGCCTCAGAAGGATAGAAGGTTGAGTGAACCCTGAACTGGCTCCCTGCGCCCAGAATCAAATTCAGGTTGTGAGCAAAGTCCTCGACTACAGTGTACCCACAGTGCCACGAGGCTCTTCTGCTCTTTCTCTTCTATATTGATGGCTGGAAACTGTCTTGGGAAAATGTTTATCCTCCAAAGCAGCCTATGAAATATTTTAAACCAGTAAGTCTCATTGACAAAACGGGAATAACATTCATGCATAATCAAATGAATAAAAACAGAAAGATAAGTTGTTGGTAGTCTTATTTAAAATATTTTACCCATCTTTTTCCTTAAAAAGGACTCAGGGCAGCTTACATCATTAAAAGACAATATTTAAAACTAAAAACATTAAGTATAAAAATACTTAAAGAGTATGAAACAAAAAACACACTAAAAATGGTAAACAAAAGCAACACCAAAAATGCATTTAAAGCAATACGATAAACAATCCATTTAAAAAAACCCTACTCAGGTAGTCAGTCCCTAAGGAAAAGCTTGACTGAAGAGAAAGGTCTTCTTCTTCCTACTCCTCCTTATTAGTAGTAGTAGCATTATCATCATCATAAGTATCATCGTCAGTATCAGTATCATTAACCTGGAGTCACCAGCCCCTCCTCCCAGTTCTATCAGCATATTGGTGACACTTTCCCGCAAAAACCCCAGGGGAAACTCACAAGGATGCCATATGAATTTCAGAGGCACCTTAGGCCATAACACCAGCTACAGAAAACAAAAGCAATTAGCCAAAAGTTTCAAAATAAAAGTCTTTAATTAATTCCCCATAATAATCCAACACTTATAAAATCTATACATCTTTTCACCAATCAATCTAGATGCGTTCACAGGAACGCTTCTCCTTTCATCACTTGCTCAAGTTTACCTATTTCCTTATTTAACCTACCCAACTTTCAGCCATAAATACCTACTGCCTCTAAGGTTGTGGCAGCAGCCACCGTAGCTGCCAGCCCTTTAATCCTCATTGTGTTTTGCGATTCACAGTACCGGCAAAGGAGGAAACAAAAAAGTTTGGTGACACCACTGCCTGCACATTGAGCTGAAAGGTAATGCTTTGAGCAAAAGAGCAATGACTTCCTAGGGAAGGATTACTTCGACGAGCAACATCACTCTCTAACTACAGTACATACATATGCAAAGAAAGAACAGTATGTCCAAGGGTAGTAACATAGTGTTTTCCCCCCCATCAATGTAAGGCCAGCAGCAACACAAAGACAACAACAACCAAAGAATGGAACAAATGTATCACAAGATGCAATAGACGTAAACATACAAAAATAAATCCTCCATCAGAGACAACGGTTGGAGTAGAATGCAATATAACAAGAGTGGGAAAATCTCCAACAAAGATCTCTAAAGGAACTCCACATATATATTGATTTTTATTCCACTGTCTACAGCTAGGCTTCTCTCAATCTTGGGAGTAGCATTTTGATAATGATACTAAAAATCATGAGATATAGATTAAGTTGGGTAGGCTGTAGTATATTCCCCACCACCCACCAAAATACTGCACACAGTGAAGCTATTGTCAGTGGAGAGAAAATAATCATTAAACTCTTCTGTGATGTGACTATCACACATAGCACAAATTGTGAACAGGAAACAACATGAAGCAATGGAACAGTGACACAAAATCAGACACAAACTCATAAACCTCAAGCATACAGGAACACTAAGGTACAACCCTGACAAAATGAGTAACATTATGCAGTAGCACCCACAATCCTGGGTATTAACCAAAGGTGACTAGGAAATGCTCTTGGAGAAAGCACGTATTACATCTGACTCAAGAATGCTGCACTGAGAGTCTGCATTCTGTTTTCACCACCATCTGCAGTAAAGGCAGGTATGCATATTTTCTGCTGCTGGAAATGGTTTAGTTGTTGGTGTGTGTCATCAAGTCGTAATCAACTTATAAAAACCCTCACTTAGCTCTCCAGTTAAGTGAGATACTTAAGGAGTTGTTCTACCAGTTCCACCCTCTCAACAGTGGATGCTTCTTGGTTGAGCAAGGATTTGAACCCAGGGCTCCTGAATCCTAGCACATCACTCTACCCACTACACCAGCCATTCTCAATGTTTTTTTTAGCCACAGCCACAAACACAATATGAAACTAATATAGGTTGAATCAGGATTGTACAAATTGCATAATGAACCTTATAAGATGGTGTGTGAATAATTGTTTCCACTCTGTGGTCCCCCATGTGGCCCCCATTGAGAATGGCTGCGCTACACCACACTGGATATCCAGAAAGGATATTAATAGTCCACAAACTATACTAAATATGGGTCAATAGTGTGATGAAGCAGCAGCAACATCAAGAAGAGGAGGAGAAGGAGGAGGAATTGGGAATGTAATATTAGGCTTCATCAACAGAAGCACAGTGTCCAGATGAATGGAAGTAACAGCGCCTCTGCTGGTCATGGCTCACCTAGAATTCTGTGTTTCATTCAGGGCACCATAGTTTCAGATGGATGGACAAGATGGTAAAATATTTGGAGCCCAAGTCTTAGGAGAAATGTTTGAAGGAGTTGGGTATATTTAGCTGGGACAGGAGAAGACTGAGGAATGACATAATAGCCATCTTCAAATATATCAAGATCCTCTCATGAAGAATGGTACAAGCTTGTTTCCTGTGGCTTCAGGGGACAGGATCCAAAGCAGTAGATTCAAATTACAAGACAAGAGATTTCACTAACCATTATGCATGTTTTCCTGACAAAAGAGCCGTTTGACAACAGAATGGACTATCTTTGAAGCAGACAAGCTCTCTTTTATTAGAAAGTTTGTTTTTATTTTTGCTTTTGACAGAACTTCAGATGGCCATCTGTCAGGGGTGCTTTAGTTGTGGGTTTCCTGCTGTGGCAGCTGATTGGGACTCCATGACTCTTTGATGCCTTCCATTTGCAGAAGTCTATGATTCCAAGCAAGGGAATCACAGCAGTTGAGCATTTAGACAATTGTGAACACCTGAAGAGATCTATTCCCAATGTCACAAAGGCTGAAATTCTGTTGCTTAGTGTAGTAAGCTGCAACTATAGTAAACCCATTTGAATCAATGGAACAATTACACCGGGGATGGAAAAAGTGGATAAAGGGAAGAAGCTCTTTTCCCCCTCACGGAATACCAGAACCAGGGGGAATCTACTCAAACTGAGTGTTGAGAGACTGAGAAGAGAAAAAAGAAAATATTTCTTTACCCAGCATGGTGTTAGTCTGTGGAACTCCTTGTTACAGGATGTGGTGATGGCATCTGGCCTAGATGCCTTTGAAAGGAGATTGGACAGATTCCTGGAGGAAAAGTCCATCGCAGGTTACAAGCCATGATGGGGATGTAGGATCTCCAGGCTTAGAAGGAAGGTACCTCCAAATGCCAGATACAGGGGAGGGGGATCAGGAACCAGGTATCTAGTTGTCTTCTGGGCTCCCAGAGGCATCTGGTGGGGCCACTGTGAGAGACAGGAAGCTGGACTAGATTGGCCTGATCCAGCAGGGCTCTTCTTATGTTCTTATGGAGGAGCTGACTAGATTGGCCTGATCCGCAAACTCCAATGATTCAATGGGCAAACTCCATTGATTCAATAGGTGTACTCTAGTGCAACTTACCATGCTAAGCAACAGGATTTAAGCCATAGAAACAGCATGTTCACAACTAGTCAGTCCATGTGTCTCCTGATTTTTCCTGCTGCTTGTAACAAATCCATGCTTGTGGCAGATAGATCATGGCAGATAAAATGGCGGCTTTGATTCATGGCCAACAATTCAAATGGCCCATTTGCCGTGATTATGAAGCCAGGACAGCCCTGACCACAAATCAAGTTGTCCCTTACAGTAAGTGCATTTGTCAAATATCTACTGGAAACATCTGGATTCAGTTGCTGGTCTCAAATGCACGACCACAGAGCAAATAATCTGCCTTTCCTTGGCAACCTAATCAGAGGCAGCAACCACATGGGGGGGGAAAACCCTTCCTTTCTCTTTTACCTTATTGTGGAGCACCACCACATTGTGTGGATCAGCATTGAGCCACGTATCCATAGCCTTGCAGATGCTGCATATTTTCTCCAGTGCAGGTGTGTACAAGTCAGGCCATCCAAAATCCAGCACCTGTGGCACAAGGAATGGGTTGCCAAGCCAGAGGAAAAGGGAAGAAAAAGAAACCAGGTGTCAGCAAACAGGAACATTCCTGTTTCAATGCTTTTTTAAAAAAAGAAGAGGAGTGGGGAACTGTTGGCCCTCCAGACATCACAGGCTATAAAACTTCCACAATCCCTTGGCACTAGTCATACTGAGTGCAGCTGTGAGAAGTTGAAGCATAGAAATTTGGTACACCTCAGGTCCCGCACCCTTGGATCAGAAAATAATCTTTTACAAGGCATTCAAGTGCACCCATGAAAGGGTAGCGGATTCCTAATGATATTGTTTTTTAAAATTATAATTTGCCACCAATGAGAGATACCCCTTTTGTCTCTTCTAGCTCTCTTTGCACATCAGCTATACAGTAACCTGAGACTGGGTCTGCAAGAGTGCAGGTTGCCCCAGGAGCAGAAAATCAAAGAGAGAAAAATGTTAAAGAAATTTCAAGTGAAGCCCTTGAATTATGAGGCCCTATCAAAAACTCTGATGAGTACATTCTCAAAATGCAAACAAACGACCTTCATTATGGAGCAACCTCTCTAAGCAACTCAGCAAGACCAAAAGCAATTTCATGCTTGTTCCTCAAAGTCCACCAGTCACCACCCTTACACAAAATCAAGAGAAGAGCAATAACACATACAAGCCAGTACATCTACATGGGGTGGCCAGCAGGAAATTGTGACAGAGGTTCTAGAAAGGGGATTTTCCTTAAAAGTCTCACCTTTTGAATGCTGCCAAATAAGATGTTCCATTTTAAGTTACAGATCACATTTTAAAAAACAACAAAATATCTTTGGTTGACTTGTAGACACTGGGACTCAACTTTGCTGCTGCACCACCAACATACAGATCCTGCACATACCTGGCAGGTCTCTAGATAACAAAAGCAATTTTGATGGAATTTTGCCACACGAAATACTGCCACAGGGAGAAATGTTTTGAGAACCTCCTCCAGGAACTTCAGTATTTACAGGGGCCCTGCATCTGCAGGCATCCAGTAGAGAAAATTCTGTGTGTCACTATACTTTGCTAAGGCAACAGTGGAGGGGAGTAGCAAAATAATCACTAGTCTCTCTATTCAAGGGGGATATGCAGTTTTCCAATCAACAGAGCTACTTCTGGGAAGCTAACATTCACCTTTAAGGAAATGCCTCCATGAGGAATCTCTTCTTAGGTCAAGTTATCCTTTGCATTCCCACATCCCAGAAACCTGGACTTCAATTGCAAGTTGCCTTGAGGATCCTTTTTTAAGGCCAAAAAGACAGCTTATGAATTTAGAAACAAACAACTCTTTGGGTGGAGGTAGGGTGAGATCCCTCATTCTGTTTAGGGTGTCAGTGAAGGGCAGTTACTTCTCTTTACACTTAATGCTAACAACAACTATCATAATAGATGCCCAGTTCAAGCATGGGCAACCGACTGCATGGTTCTTTAATGAGATGGGCAGAGGTTCTTGCCAGTTCATAAGCATGGCACCACAGGAGCCATGCATCCTCCTTCAGCCACCTCCCACTCACCAGCCAGTGCGTGCTCCTCTGTCACCAATTCATATTTTAGAATATTTTAAGAGCTTCCTGTAGCAATTTGCAAGTCCTAAGGGAGCAAGATCCAACTACTATCCTCTCAGATTGATCGCCTACCCTAAGCCTCTTCTTTAGTTTATTAAATTTAGTTTACAAAATTCTGATTTTTCCTGTGGTCTAAAAGCAGAGCCTGGAAGTTACTACTTGAAGGTAATATGGTTACCTGCAACTACTTACTTTGAAGGTGACAACTAGTTAACAACGTTGCAATAAGATTAATGCAACACAAAGTTATTGTTTAGGTATAATTATTTTTCTCTTCTTACTCTCAAAGTTACTTGTAAAATGCATTTTAAGGTATTTTTGGAGGCATGTTGAGAGGAATTTTCCAACTTATCTGTCTGTCTTCGTGCATGTGTGTGTTCAGTCATTTTGTCAATAATCCTAGTACATAATAAGGAAAGCATTACTTGGTATGTGTGGGGGGGGGAGGTTTACATTTTTATAAACATTTACAAAGTGCAGTATCAGAAATGGCCACTAGAAAGAACCAGAGAGTATTTTCTGCAATGTTCCTCTGTTTCTACTATCCTCACATTCTTCAGGGAGGCTTCTTCTATGTCCCTCATGCAAGATGTTAATAACAAATAAACTATAAACCATAGACACTGAGAAACAGTGATAATGTAACTAACTCCTTTTAAAAATAAGGTTTGAAGTTCTAAGAGTATAGCAAAGAAAAAAAATGGAAGGAAGGAAGGAAGGAAGGAAGGAAGGAAAGAAGGAAGGAAGGAAGGAAGGAAGGAAGGAAGGAAGGAAGGAAGGAAGGAAGACCTCCATCTGCAAAAGCGGGTTGATGGAGAGGGCCTCCTTTGCATGGCTGTTCTCAGACATGATGAAATGTTCTTCAAAAATTCTCAGAATTCAGATCCCATTTACGTTCCCTTTATTTTGCCTTTTGTTTTTATTTGATTTGTTACAGCTGCACTCCATCTCAGTGAAGCAGCTTTCTTTGCTCACAAGAGACAGATGACTTCCTTTCTTTTGCCCCAAGAAAGCTGCTGCCTGTCTTCTGCTCTCCTCCATCACTATCCCTTGCCAATCCAGTATGCTCTGCCTGCTGCCCCATCTGCTTGAAAAATATGGTGGCAAAACTGAGATGCTAGCTGTTCTTTGCAGGATTTGGAGCAGAGAGGGGAGGATAAATATTTCAGCCATGTGCCTGGCTCAGGGTCAATGAACAGCCTGTACAGTTGCCAAAGATAGCAGCAGCATGGTGGGATTAGGGGACAAAACAAACACACGCACACAGAGAGAGCGAGAGCGAGAGCGAGAGCGAGAGAGAGAACTACATACGAAAGACTTAAGGAGCTGTGTATCAGAGGGAAATGCCAGAAGATGGACAGAAGCAGTTTAGGGCAGACCCCTCTGGGGGTCAACATGCCTAGCTGAAGGAAAGTGGATGATGGGATAGCAATATATGTAGACTCTGAAGTGTTACATTTGAATTCACAGCTTCTGACTGCAGCCACACAGATTGTACAGCCTTTTGAGAAACTGGGCCAACATACCCAATACATAGCAAACAGGACCTGACTCTTCATTTCTGGTTTTGACACTACTGTAGCTTCCTTGGTGGATAGACGCCCTGTCTGGCTTTTCAAAAGATAACATCCATCCCATACAAACCACTGACACCGTATTCCTTGGCCACTCTGCCCCCCTCCACTTTTAATTATTCAAAAGTCCATGTCAGGATGCAGTGTCATATCCACTTTATTTCGGAATTTTCTCTTCGAATAACTGTTGGCGGCTGCACTGTTTGTGTGTTTGGACTCTAAGACCTTCTTAAGCTCATTCCCTCCCTCCAAGCTACAAAGCATGTGAAAATTCATTTCATAGTTCCTGCTTTTAGGTTCCCCACAGCATGAATAATACATTTCTCCACATAGTTATCTATTATGGTAGATTTAAGAAAACAAACTACATGACTAGAGGGACACCTTCCACTGCACGCAGACTTACCAAATACTGTCACCTAGGCTGACTTTTGTTCACCAGCCATTGAGAGGGACAGGATGTATTCTCAGACAGAGGGGAGACGACAGTGCCAGAGCCCACATGAGAAACCCAGATATTAATACTTTGCTCCCTGCCGGTGCTTACTCAGTTTAGAGTAAATAAAAAACAAATGTGAGAGACATTTTTAGTGGATACAAACGGTTCCCCTTCAACAAACCATTTGGCCCCTTGTTCACTCTCTCCAAGAGAAACATTGTATGGCTATAAATAGTTCTACCTTACCCTGGAGTGGAGCTTGCTGATGTCACGCCTTCTCTCTGACAGGTTAAAAAGCTAATGGAGAAGAAGAAAACATACACTGTTAGAAGCACTGGTGTGTGTGTGTGCCGGCGTGGTGCAGATAGCAAAATGGCAGAAAACTATAGAGGAGTAAAAATTGCAGAATTCTATGGCCTTACTGTGTATGTCTGCATGTACTGTATGGGTGCAAAAGACACACACACACACACACACACACACACACACACACACACACACACACACACACGCGCGCGCACCAAGACTGGCTTCTTTCTGAAATATCAAGCATCACCTTTTTAATAGGAAAAAAAAGACATTCTGGATTTGCACAATTGTTCCCATCTGTCCTCATACATGCAGTCTGCTAAAAGTTTGCTATTTCAGTTGGCTGCTTGATGAAGCTTACTGAAACAGAAATTTAAACAGATTTGTAAGTATGTCAGCTTCCTTGATGTTGAACATGCCAGTGTTTGCTTCCAGGGAAAGGGAACAGTGGACAACAGTGGTGGTGAGCAGGTGCAAAGGGGGGTGACACCCATTTGTAGCTGAAATTAAAAAGAGGGGGGGGAGGTAGGTCAGTGACCAGGAAAAGGTTCTAGACATCAGATGAGTTACAAAAAACTCTGCATCTTTTAAATAAGGTGCAAGCTTTTGTAGAAGTGTTGAAAACTGACTGAAGACAGAAGGTAAGGGTCACCAGACTCAAGGGACATCTTGGGTGAGCATTCCAAAGTTATACCATATATAAAATTTAACTTCAGTCTCGCAAGGATCTTACCAAGTAGTTGTCCCCATGTTTTGATTTTAGCATTTGTGCCACCTCCTTCAGGTTGCTGCAAAATATCTGCTCCTCTGAAGAACTTGAAAAGTTGACAGCTATGATCCGTTCTGTGACATACACCAGGTCTAGGTCACAAGTGTCCTCCATGGCTGGATTGAGGCTCAAGCTCCTGGGTCAAAGGGAAACCACTGAACAGTTAACAGTGGCAACACAAAAAGCTCTAAAGATATGAAGGGTCTGCCTGCATTGTCTTCTCTGAACAACAGTTCACTTTGCTCTGTCAAGTGTACAGTGTGTTCACTGAGTGTAACAAGTGGGGCTTCTGAACATTGTTCCAAATGCAGTCATTTTGTCAGGGGTTTAATTAAAGCAAGATGTGAGATAACAAAAATTAATCAAGAGTAAAAATGATATTCCTTCCAGGGGAGGAAAGCTAGTTCTATGGCTTATACTTGACACAACACCTCTGTCATAAAGCTGTTTGTAGCCTAAGATTCACACCTGAGGACTTCCCCTAAGTGCCACCTCTAAGGTACATGAAGGACAGTGGCAAGGAAGGTTTTTATTGTTGCTGATTATGATGCTGTGCTCTTAAGTCTATGGGGTGTTCTCTTCAGTGATGCCCACGTTGTCTCAATGTGATCTTTTCAACACCTTGTTGATAGTTTCATCTTCTCCAAAGCACTGAATGGAATATGATGGATTGACTTTGAATATCAGCCTTATACAATGGATATTCCCTGGAGAAGAATTAGTTTATATTGCAGACTCATTATTTGTATCTTTAGACTTTTCTGGGCTTTTACTTAAATTTTATTTATCTATAAGAAGTAACAGAATAAAAGAATCTGAAAGGTACAACAAACAATAGGGGCCAAGGCAATGGCATTCCATACTGCGGTTAAAGAAAGCACCGGGAACATTATATTAGATGGTACAATATGAAATCTTGTCTTGCTAACAATGGAAGTTATTTAAAATGCTGTTTTGTAAGTTGCCGTTAGACTAAAGTGGGGGTTACTGAAACCTGTTATTGCGAGTATAATTACCAAACTGGGTAGAATGACTTCTAGTTTTTTGTGTGTGCTTTCTTAAATTGTAAAGTATCTTGAAGTTTTGTTTGAAATTTTCAAAAAACTTTTGTGTGGAGAAAACTAAAATGAACGTTGACATGTGGAAAATGCAGTGCATGCTGTTTAACAGTATTGTGGCCTGGACTTTAAATGGGAAACATATACCAGCATTAGCATGGTACCCTGTGTGAGATGCTTGCTACTTATAACTTAACCTCGTTAAAACCCATGTTGGGAGAGAGTTATTGCCCTTATATATATATTTTTGCTTTGACAAACCAAAGTGCTTCTTATATCCCTAAAATTTTGTCCTCCCTGGCCCCATCCAGCTTCATTTCCAAAGTGGGAATGATACACAATTAAACCAAATATCTGTGTGTTCCAGATGGGAACTGCATGCAGTATAACCCAGTTCTCCTTTAAAATGGGAACAAGGCACAAGAATAGCAGGGACTGAACACATAATCTGAACACCTCTTTTTTTAAAAAAAAACGTATGTCAGATTTGTAGGTTAATATCCTAAATTTGGATTATCAAGTTTCAGTAAGGTAAAAATAACCATGGAAACAACAGTGTCTCACACTTCTAATTCTGAATATTTTTTTTCGATTTCACAGGGATAACCCTCAGTGAAGTGACTTTACCAGATATTGGGAGCTTACCTTGATGGTTTTCGTCTTGCTTGAATAAGTCTGGGTGATCTAGCAAATACCTGATGATAAAGGACAAATGGAAAGGAACAATCATGTTATTTCACTGTCCTGCAACACCATCAGCAGTTATCAGAGGGAAATCCCTCCTTATCCTCTGCTAGAAAGATGCAAGTTTGAGGGAGCAAGATCTGGAAACTCTGCATGTGTGAAAAATCATCTCCCAGCCCCCTCCTACCCTCACTTGCATTCTGCTCAGGCTGTTTCATTTTGTTTTGAAAATACAGAGGAGGAAACATATCATGCAATGTCTTGTTGGAGCCTCCTGTGTTTCAATTCCTTGGTCCTAACAGCACAGATAATTGGGCAATTAGCAGCTCCAGTGTAGGAATACACAAGAACTCAAGAGCCTAATAAGGATCATTATGAGACCATTTATCGAGCTGGACAGAACAAAAGCCATATGGGAGGAAGAGACCTCCAGAAAGTAATTTAAGGCTGTGTTGAAAATTTCTTGAAAGCAAGTCAAGATAACAGCCTCCCTGGGAGGGCCAGCAGGCTAGATTTCAAGCCCAACCACATAGCAAAGGCTGATGGGTTGCTTTGCCCCACTCACTAGCACCAAGGTGATTGGAAGCCTCTTTCTACTCAAGGAAATTGTTTGTATTGCATTTGCTGGCATTGATCACGTCACTTTGATAGATCAAGGCCAGGGACAGCAAAGAACTTTACTGGATTCAGCCCTTTGGATGAAAGTTGGGTCTCCACACCATGCAAGATTTGTTGTGTCAGGACAAACACTTTGCATTGGTGGAGTTGCACCTTTGCAAGTCTTGCGGGGCACACAAAATCATGTGCACATTTAAATATGCAAATAGCTCAAATGCACCATTTGCACCAAAACACTGCAAAACACACACATTTTAATGAACAGGGAAAAACTATGTGGCTCAAGTAAAATGCAAAACTGAATGCATATATGAGTAGAAAACAGAACGTTTGTAAGCCAACATGAAAGAAGGACTGAAAGAAGAATACATAGAAGAATACAAGAAGAATACAAAACTTCAATGGAGAAACCTGTAGGCTCAGGGCTTCTGTCCCCAATTAAGGGAAGGAAGAACTATAGGGATGTGAAGATCTCTCATCACCATACTCTACCTTAGCTATCAAGATATTACATACTTCACAAAAGAATAAACATTCTCTCTCCACTGGGTCTACATTCCAAACAAGCCTCCTCTCATGAACGGTTCATGAAACAAGAGTGGAGCACAGAGCATTAAAACCAAATTTGCCCTGCGGCGAGAGTGAGAAGGGAAGAGGAAGGGGAAAGCATGCCAACACAGGTAG